AGATATACAGAGAGGCTATTTACACGCACTGGCGAGGCATGCTGGGACCTGCTATTTACACGCACTGGCGAGGCATGCTGGGACCTGCTATATATACACACTGGTCAGGCATGCTGGGACCTGCGGTTGCTGCTGGCGCTATAGTACTTTGAAAATACTTTTATCCAAAGTAACATATACATTTTTTTTTGAGAAAGCAGGATCAGACAATCCCAGGAGAACTTCGGGTTAAGGACCTGGTTCAAGGGCCATCAGTAAAACCCCTTGGCCAACACTGGCATTTGAACCGGTGACCTTCCAATCACAGGCCTGAACCGCTGGACCACACAACACACCTGTAACTGCCCCCTTGTACTATTCATTCATTTATCGCTATTCACTGTAGATAACACACACACACTCCCACCCCAGATCAGTACAGAGATGGATCTCCAGATTTCACGGCCAGATTCAGGCCATTGTACTGCAGTCCACGTTCTCACCACCCGTGTGTGTGTCTTTGTGTGTTGTGGGTGGTTTGTGGATCATTGGCTTAGGACACTCTGCTTGTGATTGGAAGGTTGCTGGTTCAGACCCCAGAATTGGAAAAGCGATCTCACCGTCTGGCCCCTGAACCAGACCCTTAACCCCAATTGCTGCAGGGACACAGATTAAAATGAAGTTGTTCATTTCTCACGTTTTTTTAAATGCTGGATGTTAGAGCTACTCTTCTTCAGCAGATCCTCCTCTTATCAATCAATCCCCAGCCCGCAGTCATTGCCACTTCCCAGACTAAATAAATGACTGTATACAATCATAGACAGAAATTAATCTTCAAAGACAAGAAAAGCAGTGTAAGTATATGTTTTACCTCCTGCTTAATGTGTAAACTCTGAGGCTCTTAAAGAGCACAGAGACCAACTGCGACTATCATTCGCCACGTGAGGAGCTGGAACACACTGACTTTCAGTGACGTCTCACACACAAATCGGTCTTTAATAACTATTTTGCGCTATTAATTACTTAAACATATAACATATAAGGCAGTTGACACCTGTTAGTCACATCAAACTGTAAGACATAATAACTCTATTAGATGAGTTTAATGGTCCAGATGGAAACTTCATCTATTGTAGTGGCCAAAAAGTGAAATTTTCTGTGCGTGTGTGGTGTGACTTTCCCTGTCAAAAAAAGTGAGAAAAGCAAAACATACTAATTTAGGTGGATGTATATCAAACAATCATGCAACACAACCAATGTTACAAATATACATTTCTTTAGTGCAATTTCTGTTTTTTTGTCCAAAGTTTAACTCCAATTAATTTTAAGTTTAATGATATTGGGTGTAACATTTGAGTTGGCAGAGCACAGACTGCGCTGAGCCGGAGGACAGTCAATGAGCACTTTCAGATGTAATACAGCTCAACATACATTTTTATTGGTGACGGACTAAATGACGCCTCATAAACCATTTGCTGTAGAGAGGTGCAGTAAAAGTACACTGTACACTGTAATTTTATTCAGCCTGCATGAACCAAAGTATGCAGCAGTTCAAAAACATAAAATACATGTGTTTATTTGTCAATGTAGAAAATGTGGATGGAATCACAGAATCTAGACAGATAAAAAGGAATTTACAGTAAAGTGTGAAATATCATGGTTCTAATTAAATCATTTGTCATGTACACTACTCACAATAAGTTAGGGATATTGTGAGAGACTTAGTGGATGTCATACATACGGTGTTTGTTTCACTTCAGACATTTTTGGGATAGGGAGGCAATTGTATTTGGGTGATAGACACACCTCATTTTGTGTTTTCCATGTAATGGTCTCATTGTGTACAGGTGTGCCTTAAATTGGGGCCAATACCAAAAGACAACCCTTTTCAATGTGGCATCAATTTCAACATTCTGTGGGTGGACGCTCTTTTACTCTGGAGTTGCGGTGGGTGAGCGACGCTGGGCTGGGGTGGGGCTATTGGTGGCCGCA